GGTTATATGATGACATAATAGATGTAAATGCGATGGGCCAGCACTCGCTTTATTTTTTTTTTTTAAAGTTGGCACCTGAGCTAACATCTGTTGCCAATCTTTATTTTTTTCCTTCTTCTTCTTCTCCCAAAAGCCCCCCAGGACATAGTTGTATATTTTAGTTGTAGGTCCTTCTAGTTGTGGCACGTGGGACGCCGCCTCAGCATGGCCTGATGAGCGGTGCCCATGTCCGTGCCCACGATCCGAATTGGTGAAACCCTGGGCCGCCAAAGGGAAGCACATGAACTTAACTACTCGGCCCCAGGACTGGCCCCAGCAGCACTCACATTTATTAGGGGCTTGTGGAGAAAAAATGGGAAGAAGGAACAGGAGAGGGAGAAGAGAGAGGAGAGGAAGATGGGAGGAGGAGGAGAGGAATGAACTGTGGAGTCAGACAGACCTGGGTTCAAATCTCTGCTCAACCCCTTGCCTGGCTGTGTGACCTCAGGCAAGTTACTTAACCTCTCTGACTTACAGTTTCCTCCTCTGTAAAATAGGGATAATACTGCCTACCTTGAAAAGGATCTTGTTAAGATAACAGGTCAGAAAGAGCCCCCCACTTAGCTTGCGAGCTCTAGGGCGTTTAAGAAGCGTGCCTGAAATCAGAGCCACTGCTTTCTCAGCCCCGAATGGCGCTTAGGGGAAAATCTGGTTTACGTTCTAACCTTCCTGGACCACCGGCTCTGCCGCCCTAGACAGGGTGAACATGCGGAAGCAAGAGAGGCCAGGCCACAGGGAGCCGGGCCTCCCACTGCTCTCTCGTCACTTCCCAGGAGAGGCCGCTGCGCTCCTGTAACCCACTGTGTTCTCTCTGGACAAAGGAGACGGGAGAGCCAGGCTCGTCCTTCCCTGGGCCAGTGTCTTCCCCTCTGAACTGGAGGAGAGCAATGTCCCTTTGTCCTGGCTCCAGAGCGTGGCTGGTGGGTGGAACACCCATAGGCCAAGGAGACCGTCAAGCGCTAGTCCGCGACATCCCAGGACCCTCCACGAAGGGCAAGTTATTTTAAGCCTCTCCTGGGCCCGAGGCCTGAGCAAATGAAGCAAATGGCTTCGGGAGAAGGACCAGAAAAGTTCTTAAGGCCTCTCATTCTGCCAGAAACACATTTAAAATTTAAAAAATTTAACACTCACAAGCTCTCTTGGGTTCACTTTGTGCTGGGTTTTGGTTTAAAGGAAGACAAAGCAAAACCCCAAACCCTCAAATCAATGGATCCAGCAAATGCTTGGCCCTTGCACGCTGTCCTGGCAAGGCAGGCACTGCGCTCCAGCGAAAAAGCAGTCGACCCGCTTTCCTGCCAACGCTTTCCGACTGGGGCAGACGGAGGCCCGCGGTGAACTCTGTTTCTTTTTTAAACAAGGAATGGGACAGGGAAGCCGGCCAAGGGGCAGGTCTAGCTGACGGCCCCGCCAAGCAGCCACGAACAAAGCCAGGGTGCCCAGGTGCAAGGGAGGCGAGGCGCTGAGGGGAGCAAGGGCCCCGGGAGGGCAGGCCAGGCCAGGCCCTGGAAGCATCCAGAAACTGTGGGATTAGGACCCCACAGTCTCCCAGTAGTTTCTGCAGAACTTGGGGGCCAAATGTGGGGTCAGGCCTTAGGGTACCTGCATCTACTGTCAGACCACCAAGCCCACAACTCGGCCCCTCAAACAGAAAAGTTGCGCCCCATCCCACAGCCCACCCCGCCGTCTTACTTCTGCTAGGCAGCTCCTCTTGGCCCAGGCTGTTGGAGGGAGCCAGGGGGGCACTGCCACCCTCGTCCAAGGTCAGGATGAGGGGGACGTCGTCATCCAAACTCACGGCCATGTTCTCCTCTCCTGCAGCCCTCAGGAGGCGAGGTCCAGGGCTTCAACCCACCTCTGCTCGCAGCTCCCTTTCAAAGCCACTGGCCCAGAGGTGCTTGTCAGACGCTCCTCCATTAGTGGCATCTTCTAGATAATGAAACATAGACAGGGATAAAGACAGAGATAGGGATTAAAAAAAAAAAAAGACAATTATCAGAATACAACCACTACCAATTGAAATGTTTTGGAATTAGATAGTGGTGATGGTTGCATAACCTTGTAAATATATTAAAGACTCCTGAATTGCACCCTTTAAAATGGTGCATTTTATCGTATGTGAATTATATCTCAATAAAAAAAGAATATTGCAGTATAATAGCATTAAAATATGGGGGAAAACTCAGCAAGAAAAATTCTGAAAAGTTAAGGGTAATCATGTCTGGAGCTTCAGATTATGGCTAATATGTTCCACCTCTACCCATCTTTACACTTATGTGAGTTTTGCAAAGATTTTAGACTTAAAAAAATATATAACCATTAAAATAATAGTAGTTAATACTCAGTGAGCACTTCCTGTGTACCACGGGCTCTTGTGGCAATTTTTAAGTAAAGCTGATTGAAATTTTATTAATAAGTAGCATTATTATCCTCCATTACACATGGGGAGAATTTAGGCTCAGAGAGGTTAAGTAACTTGCCTAAGAACCCACAGCTCAAAAGCCAAGCTTTTAACTATGCAATCTGACTCCAGACCCATGCTCCCAGCCACTACCCCACAGTTTCTACAAGTCCCAGCCCTGGTGTTCAGGGGGCACCTCAGTCCAATGACCTGTAAAGAGGTAACGGGCCAGGTCATCTCCACTAGCCCACAGCATTCCTAAACAGGTGTCATTCCCCTCGATTTAGTTACTTGAGAGGAAGGCGAAGAAAACTCGAGTATTTTTTAAAATGATGTCCAGTCACACAGCAAAAGCACTCATTCTGAACTCCCAATTGAAACCAACCACTCAGGACTAGCCAGTTATAGTTCCTATTTATATACATTCCCATTTCCGCAGAGGGGACCAAAAGAAAAGCAAAGACTCAGCAGATCTGAGAGCAGGCCTTTGAACCTGAAAACAGCAGCAGGTTCCTTCCTCCAGGGGGGGCCTTCTGGGCTCCTCAGCTTTGCCTCCAAACTGACCCACTGAATGGCCACCTGGCAAGTCACTTCTTTCATGAACCACCAGAATAACCCTGGGCAGGTCCCTGTGCGTCAATATTTTCTTAAAATAAGGCAGCAAAAGTGAGCACATTCTACTCACTGCTGAGCCCGGAGCCCTCTGCACCGCGAACTTCCTGTAAGATTTTTTTTACGCTTCCTCCAGACCTGGGGACTTATTCTGCTTTTTTATCTCAATTGTGGGGAAGAGGAAATCCCAAATGAGATGCTACCATTAGACTGTCTTAAGAATTACGTGTTTCGGGGTTGGGTGTTTTTTTTTTTTGGTTTAACGTTCTACCACAGATATTTTCAAACATACTCAAAAGTACAGAGAATATGGAAATGAACTTCTTCGTATCCATCACTCAGCTTTGACAATTACCAGTATCTTGACATTCTTCCCCGTATTTATTCTGAAGACAAGAGAATCTATTCACCCTCTGAACTCATCCAGAAGTTTCTTAATTTTACCATTATCATCATAATGACTAGTGGTTTTTATTTTAGCTGTTTAATATGTGACTGTTTGCTTGTATGCATTGTCTTAGCCCTGTGGCTCTCAACCGGGGTGATTCTGCACCCCAGAGGACACTAGCAACAGACGGAGACATTTTTGATTGTCACAACTTGGGGGTGGAGGTGTCAGCAGATGAAGGCCAAGGATGCCGCTAAACATCCCACAAGGCACAGGTGAGACCCAGCACAACACAGAAACACGCGGCTCAGAACGTCAACAGCGCTGCTGTGGAGAAATCCTAATTCTCCAATGTCCTCACTTTACAGATGAGGGAACTGAGGCTCAGCGACGTTACCTGAACTGGCCTCTTGTAAGTAAACAGCAGGGAAGTGGCTGAGCCCAGAGTTCAACCCGGGCAGCTGAATTCAGGGACCCTCCCCCGCTGGACCCTCCACCTCCTCCCAGAACCAGGCTCCCGATTCGAATTCAAGCCCATCATTTTAAAGGGAGGGGAAAGCGAGGCCCAGAGGCGACAAGGGACTTGCCCAAGGTCACACCGTGCAGGACCCCCGACTCCTAGCCCCGGGCTCCTTCCGCGGGTTTGCTTCTCGCTCTCTAGAGGACCCAGAAGGGAAGGGTCACTCTTGGGGACAGGTCCCAGCAAAGAGGCCCAGCAGCCTGACCCGGGCACGAGTTTCTGGTGCGATGGGTCGCCTGAGGGCGCCAGGGAGACGAGCAGACGAGGGAGGAGGGGAGGGGAGGGGAGAGAAGTGCGGGATCCGGCTCCACGTGCTCCAGCCGCGGTCTCCCGCGTGGGGGTCGCCCCGGGAAGCCGGGGGCCGAGGAGAGGGGGTGCAAAGCCCGAGCCTGGGCTGGAGGAAGACAAGCGCGGCGACGACCTCCCCGCAGCCCCTCTGGGCCCGCCCCGCCCGCCTCCCACACCCCAGCGCCCGGCCGCAGCCCCTCACTCCGCGCCCTCCGTCCTCTGACCCCTGCCCCCGCAGGCAGGCCAGCCGTCGCCCCCTCGGATTCTTACACGCGCCGCCCCAGCAACCCGGGCCGCGCCGGGGTCCGCACCACGCAGCCCAGCCCGCCGGCGCCGCCGCCACAGCCGCGAGCCCGGAGCGGTTGCAGCCGCTGCAGCCGCCGCCACTTCAGCCGCTGCCACCACGGCAGCTGCGCCAGCGCTCGCATCCGCCGCCCTACCGTCCCCCCGACTCCGCCGGCCCCGCCCCATCTCCCCTTCGCCACGGCCTATTGGCTATCTAGGCTGCCCTGGTGGGCTATGATTGGCCAAGCCTCACGTCCTTCTCCAGCTCTCGCCCTCTGGCGTTGTAGGACTCCCCGCCCGCCTCCTCGTGAAGGGGCGGGACTTAATAAGCTCCGCCCCTTCCCCCCAACCTCCCCGCCTCACTCGTTCAGCCCGACCCAGAGGGAGTCTCGAGTCTTTCAATTGGTGAAGAGCTGGAGAGACGGTGCTTCTGATTGGTCAGGCCTCAGGAGGTGCGGCGAACTGAGAGGAACAGGGAATTGAATGGTGAAAAGGAAAGTCAGTCAGTGCCGAGTCCCGCCCTCTGAGATTGGCGGGTAACCTAGCAACGCAGGTACGGCGGAGGTAACTGTGGGTAGAGAAACAAGGCGCTCTGCGAGCAGGTGAGTGACCAGCTGGGGAAGGGCTGGCGATGAGGGGGAGATGTGGCATGGGGTCTAGCCCGCTATCCTTTGGTTCCCTGAGGAATCCGTAGCCCGCCCGGCGATCCTGTCCCCGCCCCAGGACCCTGCTCCCCAGCCGCCGCCTCGGTCTGGACCTCCCTCTCGACCACCTGCAAAGACCACTGCACGTCCTCTTCGGTGTCTCCACCTGTGTTCTGCCCCTCCACGTGTTCACTTCGTGGTCCCGCTTCCTTGTCCGTAAAACGTGGATGATACCAGTCAAGTGGAGTCACATCAGAATTAACTCATTTCAAGTCAAACATAGGTGACGGGAGTGAGAGGGCGGTTTATAAGTCCCCTACCATTCTACCCAACGACCATACACATTCCAGGCTGAGCAGGCAATGAACGACGTCTCACTTGACAGAGTGTTTAAATTGAGTCATATTGATTCTACCGATTTTTGCCTTTTGTACTAACTTTAGAACTTAACTCCCATCCTTGTCCTTAAAATGTGATTTCGTTGTATATACTTAAGACAAAGGGTTTGTTGTGAGGACTGAATGAGGTGAGGCAGTGAAGAGCTTGGCATGGATCCCAGCACATAGTAAGTGCTCATTAAATAATAGCAACTTTTTTTTCTAAAACTACTCTTCCTCCTTAAAGTAGTTCCAAGAGAATTATCTCATTTCATTTCTTAAATATTCATATATTCAACAAGTATTTACTGAGTGCCTACTACTGGGTGCTGGGGTAGAGCAACTAATAAAAAACTTCATTTCTCCTCCCCATGGAGCTTGTCTAATGTGGGAGATAGTCATTAATCAAATAACAGACAGATAAATGTAAAATTAGATTTGAATGTATTTGAATGAATGAATGTGGAGAGTCACTTCCAGAATGATGGAATGAGGACATCAACAAATCCTCTCCTTGAAAAGCAATTATAGTCCATTGATTGATGAATGGATAAACAAAATGTGGTATGCATACAATAAAAAAGTATTCAACCTTTAAAAGGAATGAAATTCTGATAAATGCTAGAACATGGATGAGACTTGAAAACATAATGCCAAGTGAAATAAGCCAGACACAAAAGGATGAATATTGGATGATTCCACTTATATAAGGTACCTAGAATAGTCAAAGTCATAGAGTCAGAAAGTAGGATAGTGATTGACAGGGCCTGGGGGGAGGGGGAATGGGGAGTTAGTGTTTCGTGGATACAGAGTTTCAGTTTGGGATGGCGAAAAAGTTCTGGAGATGGATAGTGGTGATGGTTACACATAGTGTGACTGGAACAATGTTAATGCTACTGAACCGTACACTTAAAAATGGTTACAAGTTTCCCAACTTTATGTTACGTATATTTTACCGCAATAAAAAAAAGCAACTATAAAGGTGGACAAAACTATCTAGTGCTATATTAGCACTCTGAAAACCAACCAAAGGCATACAACAAACTGAGAGTGTTTATTCGTGAAAACTACGGAACTTTAAGTTTGTGGTGTCCCTACCTGGGGCTGACCAATTGGGTACTTACCAATTTCCCCACCCTTCGTTCTATTGGTATGATAGTTCAACCAGGACAAGTAACCCATGAAAACCAATAGCTTCACTGTCACTGTCTGATGGGGCTCACTCGATTTGGAGCATTGTTGGCTAAAGTGATAATCTTGGTGGCAAGAGAAGAGGGAAGACCAGCAGCTCCAGGAGTCCACAGTTGCAATCCTATTTGGGGCCAATAGTGGACTTAGAATTCTGGGAAGTGAGGGAGCCGTAGATAAGCTATCTACATATTCTGGTTGGCCAGGGGTTATGCACGTGTGTAGCAGAGACCAGACCAGCCCCAGACACTTACACGTCCCTGGCCATTGGAGCCTGTGTAGACGAGCAGAGGAGACACGAGGGCGTCCGGCAGAAACTAAAAGTCAAGGCAGACTGGAAAATGACCTGAACAAGGACTGCACTCGCCAGCAGACATCGGAAGCCTTATTGGCTCAAAGTGTTTGAGCACAACCCCTGACCAATTTTTGGCTGAATTCTAAGTTGTGCAGACACAGGGGTGACCCCTAGGAAGCCAGGTTTAAAAATAAAAATAAGATGGGCAGGCCCTGTGGCATAGTGATTAAGTTCACGTGCTCTGCTTCAGCAGCCCAGGGTTCACCAATTTGGATCCCAGGTGTGGACCTACAAGCTGCTCATCAAGCCATGCTGTGGCAGGCATCTCACCCATAAAGTAGAGGCAGATGGGCACGGATGTTAGCTCAGGGCCAATCTTCCTCAAAACAATAAAATAAAATAAAAAATAAGAAAAAAAGTTGAGCAGAGACATCTGTAGCTGCACATGGTGGAGGAGACCAACTTGACAGATTTAGTAACTTACCAAACGGGACGTAACTTACCAAACACCCAAGGAAAACAGTAAGAAGAACAACAATCATTAGGAGGAAAAAAATCAGAACACAGAGTTGCTACAAATGTTATCTAAGATTTCCAGTATTCAACAAAAATTGTGAGATGTGCAAAGAAACAAGGACATGTAAATATATTCAGGAAAAAAAGCAGTCAATAGAAACTGTCTCTGTGTGTCCCCAGATGTTGGCTTTAGCAGACAAAGACTTCAAAGAAGCTATTATAAATGTGTTCAAAGAACTAAAGGAAACCATGTTTACAGAATTTAAAAATGGTAGGCTAACAATGACTTATCAAATAGAAAATATTTAGTATTATTCTAAAATAGATTGTGATCATTAAGATGCACATTATAATCCCTAAATCAACCACTAAGAAAATAACTCAAAAAAATAGTTTAAAGATCAACAAAGGAGTCAAAATAGTGGGCTAAAATATATTTAATACTATAAAAGACAGTAAAGAAGTAACAGGGGAACAAAAAAAGACACAAGATGAGAAAAATAAACAACAATAGCAAAATGGCAGACGTAAATCCAACCATATGAATAATTTTATGTGAGTTATTAAATGTAAATGGAAAAAAACACTTCAAGCAGAAGGCAGAGATCGTCAGACTGGATAAAAAAAAGTGAGACCCAACTGTATGCTGGCTATAAGAGATGCCTTAGATTCAAAGACACAAATAGGTTGAAAGTAAAAAATTGAGGGGCCTGTCCCATGGCATAGTGGTTAATTTCAGTGCACTCCACTTCAGCTGCCTGGGTTTGCTGGTTCGGATCCTGGGTGCAGACCTACACCACTCTTCAGCCATGCTGTGGTGGTGACCCACATATAAAGTGGCGGAAGATTGGCACAGGTGTTAGCTCAGGGCTAATCTTGCTCAGCAAAAAAAAAAAGAAGAGGAAGAAGAAAGTGAAAAATTGGAATCCATGCAAACAGTAACCATAAGAGACCTGGAGTGGCTATGTTGCTATCAGACAAAATTTATTTTAAAACAAGAAATGTTATTAGAGCAAAGAGGGGGACATTTTATATTGAGAGGAAGGTCAGTACATCAGGAAAATGCAGCTAGACTGACCAAGAAAATAAGAGAGAAGAAACAAATTACCCAAATCAGAATTACAGAAACTAAGAGAAATATAAAGGAATATTATGAACAACTTTATGCTAAAAAATAAGACAACTTAGATGAAATGGACAAATTCCTAGAAAAACTAATTATTAAAACTGACTCAAGAAGAAAGAGAAAATTTGAATAAACCTATAAGTAAAGAAATTGAATTAGAAATAAATAATCTTCCTTCAAAATAAAGCCCAGAGCTAGATGTCTTCACTGGTGAATTCCATCAAATACTTAAAGAAGAAATAATGCTAATCCTTCACAAACTCTTTCAGAAACAGAGGAGGGAGCACTTTCCCATTCGTTCTGTGAAGGTAGTATTACCCCTCATGCCAAAGCCAGACAAAGACATCCCATGACAAGAAAACGTCAGACTAAGGGTTAGACCAAATGTGGCCTGTCACCTGCTTTTGTAAATAAAGTTTTATTGGAACACAGACACGCCCATTGGTTTGCATATTGTCTATGACTGCTCTTGCTCTACAGCACAGGCGAGTAGTTGCATCAGAGGTTATACAGCCACAAAGCCAAAAATATTTACTCTTTGGCCCTTTACAGAAAGAATTTGCCAACTCCTGCTCCAGACCAATATCCCTCAAGAACATAGATGAAAAGTACTAGCAAACCGAATTCAGCAACGTATAAAAAGGATTAGACCATTCTCAAGTGAGATTTATTCCAGAAATGCAAGAATGTGTTAACATTTGATAAACAATTAATGTAATATACTATATTAATAGAATAGGTGAAAAAAATCACAGGTCATAGCAATAGATGCTGAAAAAGCATTTGACAAGATCCAACATCCACTCCTGATAAAAACTCTCGATAGATTAGGAATAGAAGGGACTTTTCTCAACCTGATAAGCACATCTACAAACGCCCACAGTTAACACATACATACTGGTTTTCCCGAAGTTTGGGAACAAGGCGAGGATGCTCATTCTCATCACTTCTATTCCACACTTTACTGAGGCGCCGGCCCAGTGGCGCAGCGGTTAAGTTCGCACGTTCCGCTTTGGCGGCCCGGCGTTTGCCGGTTTGGATCCTGAGTACGGACATGGCACCACTTGGCAAAAGCCATGCTGTGGCAGGCATCCCATGGATAAAGTAGAGGAAGGTGGGCACGGATGTTAGCTCAGGGCCAGTCTTCCTCAGCAAAAAGAGGAGGATTGGCAGATGTTAGCTCAGGGCTAATCTTCCTCAAAAAAAAAAAAAAAAAAACACACTTTACTGAATGAAGGTTCTAGTCAGTGCAATGAGGGAGGAGAAAAGAAATTAAAGGTATCCAGACTGGAAAGGCAGAAGTAAAACTGTCTTTATTCACAGATGACGTCATGCTATATGTAGAAGAGCCTTAGGAATTCACAAAAAGCTCTAGGACTAATAAACGAATTTAACAAGGTCATGATATTTAAAAATCAATTGTGTTTATATACATTTTTAAATATATATGTTAGCA